CTCATTGAGAGATTCTATGACCCCACTTCTGGTAAACTGGAAATTTGTTCAAATTCATTTTATTCATCATAATTTTGTTTGGTTACTTATTGAACTACTCCGTGTGCGCAGGACAAGTTCTGCTTGATGGGCATGACATTAAAGCATTAAAACTTAGATGGCTGAGGCAGCAAATAGGACTAGTAAGCCAAGAGCCTGCATTATTTGCCACCACAATCAGAGAAAATATACTGTTGGGTCGGCCAGATGCAGATCAGGTTGAGATTGAAGAAGCTGCAAGGGTGGCTAATGCTCATTCGTTCATTATCAAGCTTCCCGAAGGCTATGATACTCAGGTTAGTCGATTCAGAGTATGCTTTGAGAAAAAATGAGTACATAATTGTCTTGGCTATTGATTGTGCTCAGCAGCAAGATAACCCAGTCAGATCAATCATATCTTTGGATTTAAAGACCTGTGCAGAAGCATCCACTTGTTTCTATGGTCGCCACTCCTTTTTGAGATTTATGATAAGATATTGGCTGAGTAAAAAAAAAAAAAAACTTTTGAAAACTAAAATAGACATTATCTACGCCACAGTTATCACAGTGGCCATGTAACATCATAATGCGATGTCTCATGTCATGTGTATGTGGAGTAAAGCCGAACTCTGGAAAGTGGGAAACCCAATTATGTGGATCTTGACCAAGAGGCTTCTTGTTTAGTTGGGCATATTTGATAGTTTATAATTTCAACTTCTAATATTATTTTTTTAATTTGGTAAATTCATGGAGTCAACAAGAAAAAACCATTTAATATTATTTTTTTATCAATTTTTAGAAGTCAAAGCCAGGAATATTGCATCTGAAAAAGGGTAACATGCTTCACTCTACAGTTCATGTGCATGAATGCAGGGGAATGAATATCTATTCTTAAATAAAGGCTAGACAAACTGCCGGTGGAGGATTAATTAGGTGGAGATGCCTGAAAATAATAACAACTTCTTAAACATTCAATGGTTTGCTCTTAATTGATTACTCACTATGATTACGGAAAGATGCTTTTTGTGTTTAACTCAATAAACTCCTTATTTATAAATAAAATAAGCAATTTGTCATGCCTGAAAATTATGATAATTGTTCATGGGAATAAAATTCTAAAATAATGGAAATACAATGTTTTTTTCTATAGATGGAAGGTACATTTACTCTCTTTCTTGGTTTATAAGAATTAAAAGGGGAGAATTTAAACAATTATTTTGATAATTGCCAAATTATTAAAAATGGCAGGTGGGAGAGAGAGGACTGCAGCTTTCTGGGGGGCAAAAGCAAAGGATAGCAATTGCAAGGGCAATGTTGAAAAACCCAGCTATTCTTCTGTTGGACGAAGCAACAAGTGCATTAGACTCTGAGTCAGAAAAGCTGGTTCAAGAAGCCCTTGACAGGTTCATGATTGGAAGAACAACTCTTGTAATTGCTCATCGCCTCTCCACCATTCGCAAAGCTGACCTTGTAGCTGTGCTTCAGCAAGGAAGTGTTTCTGAAATTGGAACTCATGATGAGCTCTTTGCTAAAGGGGAAAATGGAGTGTATGCCAAGCTTATTCGGATGCAGGAAGCAGCACATGAAACTGCCATGAGTAATGCCAGGAAGAGTAGTGCAAGGTTACCTACTTACCTATCAAAATTTGCAATTAAAATTGTCGAAGAATATATTCATCTGTTGAGCATTAGATATTTTAAGCTGAACTTAAATTGATTATCTCCTGACATTATGTTTTATCTGTAGGCCTTCAAGTGCTAGAAACTCTGTCAGCTCTCCAATAATTGCTCGGAATTCTTCTTATGGTCGGTCACCATACTCACGCAGGCTGTCGGACTTCTCTACTTCTGACTTTAGTCTGTCTATTGATGCACCGCATCCAAATTACAGGCTTGAAAAGCTTGCCTTCAAAGACCAAGCCAGTTCCTTCTGGCGCCTTGCAAAAATGAACTCCCCTGAATGGCTATATGCTTCAGTTGGTTCCATGGGCTCTGTTGCTTGTGGATCTCTTAGTGCCTTCTTTGCTTATGTCCTTAGTGCAGTTCTTAGTGTCTATTACAACCCAGACCACAAATTTATGATCCGAGAAATCGAGAAGTATTGCTACTTGCTGATTGGCCTTTCATCAGCTGCACTTCTCTTTAATACACTCCAGCATCTCTTCTGGGATATTGTGGGAGAAAATCTTACAAAGCGAGTTAGGGAGAAGATGTTGGCTGCTGTGCTCAAGAACGAAATGGCATGGTTTGATCAGGAGGAAAATGAGAGTGCTAGGATTGCAGCAAGGCTTGCTCTTGATGCCAACAATGTCAGATCAGCCATTGGAGATCGCATTCAGTGATTGTTCAAAACACTGCCCTTATGCTAGTTGCATGTACTGCAGGGTTTGTTTTGCAGTGGCGCCTCGCCCTTGTCCTCGTAGCCGTCTTCCCTGTTGTTGTCGCAGCCACGGTTTTACAGGTTTGCTAAAATATAATTCATTCTAGCATGTTTCGAATTTCAATTGTGCTCTTGCTGATATTAACCATTGACTGTATTGAATTATGCACAGAAAATGTTCATGTCTGGTTTCTCTGGAGACCTGGAAGCAGCTCATGCCAAGGCTACACAACTAGCAGGAGAAGCTATTGCAAATGTTAGAACAGTTGCTGCCTTTAACTCTGAAACAAAAATTGTGGGTCTTTTCACTTCTAACCTTGAAACTCCACTGCGACGATGCTTTTGGAAGGGACAGATTTCTGGAAGCGGGTTTGGGATAGCCCAGTTTGCACTTTATGCTTCCTATGCACTTGGTTTGTGGTATGCTTCTTGGCTTGTGAAGCACGGAATCTCTGATTTCTCTAAAACAATAAGAGTTTTCATGGTCCTCATGGTTTCTGCCAATGGTGCTGCTGAAACGTTAACTCTGGCACCTGACTTCATCAAGGGAGGTCGAGCCATGAAGTCAGTCTTTGATCTCCTTGACCGAAGAACTGAAATTGAGCCAGATGACCAAGATGCTATTCCTGTTCCCGACCGCCTTCGTGGTGAAGTTGAACTTAAACATGTTGACTTCTCATATCCCACTCGCCCAGATATGCCAGTATTTCGGGACCTGAATCTTCGTGCCAGAGCTGGAAAAGCTCTTGCCCTTGTCGGACCTAGTGGCTGTGGCAAGAGCTCAGTTATTGCACTTGTACAACGATTTTACGATCCAACATCTGGACGAGTGATGATTGATGGAAAGGACATTAGAAAAATACAATCTCAAGTCCCTTAGGAGGCACATTGCAGTAGTACCCCAAGAGCCTTGTTGTTTGCTGCTACCATATACGAAAACATAGCTTATGGGCACGACTCAGCAACTGAATCCGAGATAATGGAAGCAGCAACCTTGCCAATGCCCACAAATTCATATCAGCTTTGCCTGAAGGATACAAGACATTCGTGGGAGAGAGAGGAGTTCAACTATCAGGAGGGCAAAAGCAGAGAGAATAGCAATTGCTCGGGCTTTTCTGAGAAAAGCCGAGCTGATGCTTCTTGATGAAGCAACAAGCGCACTTGATGCTGAGTCTGAGAGGTCTGTTCAGGAGGCTCTGGACCGTGCATGCTCTGGAAAAACGACCATTATAGTTGCACACAGGCTGTCGACTATTAGGAATGCTAGTCTTATTGCAGTGATTGATGATGGGAAAGTGGGCAGAGCAAGGATCCCACTCACAGTTGTTGAAAAATCACCCAGATGGGATCTATGCTCGAATGATTCAATTACAGAGGTTTACGCACAGTCAAGTGGTAGGGATGACCTCGAGTTCAAGTTCTTCCGCAAGACCAAAAGACGATGAACGAGAAAGCTAGTTGTCCAGAAACAAGTCCCACTAATGGAGTATGCTCTATATATACCTATGATTGTTGGCTTTCCTTTTTTGGCGTTTTCCCCTTAGTATAGTTCGCGTACCATCCCTCCCCTCGAATTTAAGAATGTATCTTCTTGTGTTCATGAATCTTACCAAGGAAATGACAGACAAAATAACGAATGATATTGAAATATATTAACAAAGGCGGGCTGGAATTCTGTAGATCTTGAAATTCAAGGCATGCGTATTTCAATTTATGGGCCTCTGTTATTCTCTTAAAGTACTTTATGCCCTGCGGAATAAATGAGTCCCCTGCAGCCCTGCGTGGCATCATTAAATTGCAGCCTGAAAGAATTAACATGTTGTATACAAAAAAGCAATTTAACTATTTTTTAATTATTACATCTTGATAAATTATGGAATTATTAAATCTGAAAAAAGTATTTGTCAAAAATGTTTCTTGGATAATTATGGAGAAGGCTAGAAAGCACGTTTGGGGTAAAGACACTATGAAAGATCTAGAAAACGAATGATGGGGATGTTCTTGTCTCACGAGATATTAACGTCAAGAAATATTTTTATTAAGCACTTTGGAAATCTGCAAATTCATTTTAAGGAATTTTCTTGGGTGTGTGTGTGTGTGTGTGTGTGTGTGTGTATTTTGTACAATGGAAAGATGTTATTAATGGGCATGGCTCGTGTGTTCTAACATTTGTGGGATATAGAAGAGGTGGGAAAACGAGATCAGGCTTTAAAAAAAACATACGGTTTATGCCAAAAGGGTCATATTAGCAAAGCCCAATTCTCAATCTCACGGGCAACCCAGGCCTTGCTGGCCTCAAGCCCATTTATATGTTTTCAATGCTCTGTTCCATCAAAAAAACGAAATGACAAATCTCAAATAAGAAAAAAATTAACTCAAATCTTAAATACTAGCAAAAGCTATTGTCCAAATTTCCAAAACCAAAACAAACCAGCCCAAAGTGTTTTCCTGATAAATGTCAAAAGCTAAATAAATCTGTATTGCCGTCACCGTACGTCTCTAAGATTGTCAGTGAATGATAAATTTATATTATAATTAAAAATGCTAATAATTTTATTACAAATTCAATCTACTATAGTCCTATTATATTCAATCCACTGTAATTCTGAAAATATGATTATATGAATGAATAATTATTGTTCTTGATTTAGACTTCACAAAATCTTGCATTATATCATACTACAATTAAAACGCACATGATTTCTGATTACTTAATTTTTCTGAACCATTTGTAATGGTCGTGCGAGTGAAGTCTAGTTTGCATGTTGGAGCAGAACACCCTAGTCCACAATATCACGAATGCACCATTCTGGAGTGTTAACCTGACAGGACAAGCCCATTTGGAGTTTTCACCCATATTAATTTGCCTGCAATATTTAACTCATTAAAATAAAAATATCACAACCAATGCTTTATTCAATCATTTGTCATATATTTAAGAGAATATCATGATGAGAGAAGTGTGAGATCAGAGTGAGAAGCTAGGCCTTACGTGATTCCCTGCAAAGAGTGATTTGAGGCAATTTTGGTACAACGACGTTTGCTTGCTTGGCGGCTGGAATCACCGGAGGTAGAGCTTTTACAACTTAAGTGGCCCGTCGTCTTCTCTTTACCTGATTATGAGCTCTTGCCTGATGCTTCCAAAAGATGACTTGCCGTGTCAACTGTGCTTCGTCTTTTCCAATTTTTTCTTCCGCACAAGTGAAGAGTTCTCTCTCATTTTTCCCCTAATGCTTCCAAAATATGATTGGCTTTATTCAGCATTCACACACAGATCGTGTGTTTCCAAAACTAGCGGTGCAAGAAAAACAATTCCGATGGTAAGCTATTATTGCCTATTGAATTTCTTTTCAAAACCCAACAATACACACCGCTTCTAACCCAACAGCCAAATCCTTAAATAATGTACTAATTGTGGCAGAGGACAAAAAGGCAGCTTCGCATACAGCTAGTCTTTTGCTAAAAATACATCTATCTATCTAAATATAGCAAGTCCAGCCAATTTTAAGAGAACGACAATATTTCATTTAAAATTTTATTCAAATCAATATATTATTCAATCAGCAAAATTTCTATGAGATTATTCATCAGACTGAACAGGAAAAAATATAGTTAAGAAATGTAAGAAATAAATTATCATGCTTCTCGTGGTTGCGGCAAACACATTCATGCATTATATTTAGTGAGGAGCCCGGCGAGATAAAAACAAGAAAAAGATCAACAAACATTAAAAACAACAATAATAATCTCAAAACAAACGGGGGCACATAATCAGTGTAGTTAGGAACAGTTTTCATCATAGAGATAGTGCAAGGCATGTCAATCCGTATCCAGTTCGACAAGCCAAGAATCACTGGGATTAAACCGTATAAAAGGAATATCAGGCTCGAGTCACCTAAAGCCAATGCACACATTACCAAATGTGCCTGCTTCAACCGCTAAACTTCTTACACGAGGAAAATGATATCACTAGAGCCAGATTCCATGGATATTTTAAAAACTATGAGAGGGCAAGGATCATAGTTCCCTCCAACTTCAAAGCTATGTTAATATATTTTGCTCCAAAAAAAAAAAAAGCTATGTTAATATAACCTAAAATTAGCAACTTCACAGGGCACAGATTCATAGCAAAAAAACTGCATCATCCCACACATAAAGCAGTTCAACTGACCAACTTCAATGCGCAAGTATCTTGGCAATTGGCAAACCTGGGAAGGGATACGCACATCAATAGTGAAGATGCATGCAGACCTTTGAAAACTAAAGAAAATCTGATCATTGGTAAATAATAAGAAAGCTGTCTGATGGTCACACTTAAATCTGCACAAAGATGTAACTGGAAGAAGTAAACTCTTTAACAAAGATATGTATAAACATAATGCAAAGAATTTTTCTCCGTCATTAAGTAGCTACAACATCAATTCACATGCTCACGTGCATATAGGTCTTCAGCAAGTCAAAATTTATCACATCAAAGTCCTGACCGAATAATTGACCCAATGGTGACAATGAAGTAGCATATGCTATATTTGTTCCACATTGCTAATAACTATTATAAGATTTGAATATCTATCACTGATAAGTGATAACGCCATGTAACCCATCCAGCAAACTAGTACACCAGAGATCTTAATCCTCCACCAGAAAATATATTCGGAAAGTGGTTCATATTTTACTTCAAGCTCCAATGGTTAAATCGAAAGAGATCAACAAAATGAAGATAATAATCATCTATAAATGTCACCATCCCTTTTCCACATAATTTTTTAAAAGATTAATCATTGATGATTCGGCCCATATCATAGCTTATGAATTAGAACAGAGTATAAAACTTGTGTGCATTCAAACTTTCATGCGTACACAAGTTTTGCTAAATCCAAAATTCTCTGAGCAATGCAACGTGTTCCAGTATAGATACGACTTATCTGAGTCAGACATAAACTATCTGTCGTTTCCAGATAGTCAATTTTCCCCTGCAATTTCTTACCCCAAAACATTCTGTGTGTTTGACAAACTCACAAACCACTTTGGGTCACTTAAATTCAAACCAGATAACAAAAACAATCCAGAGGATAGGATTATGGTAACTTTCACATGACTAATAAGGGAATTTATCAGATTAAGGAATCCAAACCTTATCTACAAAAGTTTCAGAAAAGGAACTAAGGAATATCATAGGTTTCTACATTATAATTATGCTCTCAATAAACTAGTGTCAAGAAATTTGTTTTTTTTTTAGGGTAGTTTTTACACATCAAGTGAACTCTTCTACATTATCTATCCAACAAGGGATTGTCACCATCCTACTCCTGTTTACTCTCATTTCCTCCTCTTTCAACAAGTTGCTCAACAAGTAGATCTACAAATAAATATGCTGTTGCCTATGAAACAACAAAACAAGCATATGAACAACAAAACAAGCATATTTCACCCAATTTTAGCAAATAAAGAAAGATAAACAAGATTAAATGAACTACTAAAAGACCATATCTAGTCATTAGAAGAATGCCAATTATGCCAGCTTGATGCCGTGGGCATCTATCTAATATTTACTCACAAGATAACACAATCTGATAGATCAGATTGATACAATGAGCAATTATTACTCTGATCAAAATCTTTGGCAGTAAACTTTTGATAGCGTTGTCGGCAAGAAATGACAGAGATACAGCTATCAAGCCGCTACGTTACAGCACCACGGCTTGCATGAAGAACGTGTGTCTCTCCGAAAGAGCAGCTCTCCTCCTTACGTCCTACTCATCATACTACATTCGTCCATCTGAACCCCAATACACGTCTTCATTCTCCCCAGCTCTGTTTTCTATTTAAGGTGAAGGGTTCATATCCTGGATACACCACACCCAGTAGTTCACCCCCTAGCGTAAGTCATTGAGCCACCATCAATTTCCTCAGCTCACAAGTAGCTCTGTTCAGGCAGAGTCTACAGCCCAACTTTCCATCCTACCTTTAAGGACTACAGGAACAATGAGAAACCTTATATTTGAGCAGTCTGATCGAACAACCCCAGAATATGCTTCAAACAAGCTACAATATGCCTGGGAATCTATACGAAACCCAGTGATCATACCACTCTTGAAACTAGCTGTCATACTGTGCTCAGGTATGTCAATCATGCTGTTTGTTGAAAGAGTACTCATGGCACTTGTGCTATTTGGGGTTAAAGTGTTGAGGAAGAAGAAATACACCAAGTACAACTTGGATGCCCTGAAACAAGACCTAGAAAGAAACAAACACTACCCCATGGTGTTGATCCAGATACCTATGTATAATGAGAGAGAGGTAAGCTTTCTTTCCGACAATGAAGCCATGAAAGTTCTATCAAATCCCCATATGATATTTATCACTTTCGTATACACAGATCAAGCATCCATCTGATTCTGAATAAGTTTTAAGATCAGTTGATAATGGCTAATACTTCTAAATGACCACATTAAACCATAAAAACATTTTTTATTAGTAATCAGGAGATAGCTTTAAATGGGAATAAATCAATTGGATTTTTTCTTCTCAAATATTTCCTATAGCATGCCATTACATTACTCTTTTCTCTGTTTTTTAATTGTCTGTTTTCAATGTTATTTTTGGCAAAATAAAACTTTTGATCCCTAAATTTTGCCTTGATTATCAATTTGGTTCCTATGGCTTCATCATTATCAAGCAAGTCCCTGTAGTTTCATAACCATACAAAAGTACTCCTTGTGATTTGCAAATGGTGTAGGGGTAAATGACATACCAAACGAGTAATGTGATTCACTTTCCCTTATTTTTTCCTCTCTTCTTTTAATTGACAGAAACAAACATCTGGTAAACAATAAGTGGAGTACTTTTGGCATGTCATTTACCTTAGTTTAATGTGATTAGTGGGGTAAATGACATGCCAGATTGTTAGCTTATATAGATTAATACCTACACAATCAAACACATCATTTTTTACAGCAAAAAGCGGTGCAAAAAATAAGCTTAAAACCCCAGATAACTGATGAAGTAAAATAAGCGCATGTTGTCTTTGCTTGTATCACGAGATATTCACAGCAAAAAGGGAAAGAATGATGCTTGATAAAGACGAAATACCTTCAAACGATATATTTGGATTTCTATCACCAGGTCTACAAGCTTTCCATCGGAGCAGCATGTGCACTTTCATGGCCATCTGACAAGCTCATAGTCCAGGTTCTTGATGACTCCACTAATCAAGTCTTACGGGTATCTCATTGAATCCAGCAGATCTTCATTGAAGACCCCTTTCATATATAAATTTGCTATAACCCTGTGTCCATAAACATGCAGGAATTGGTTGAACAGGAGTGTCATAAATGGATACGGAAAGGTGTTAATGTCAAGTATGAAACTAGGAATAATCGAAATGGTTACAAGGCTGGTGCCCTAAAAGAGGGTTTGGAGAAGGAATACGTCAACAATTGTGAGTTTGTGGCAATTTTTGATGCAGACTTCCAGCCAGATCCGGATTTCTATGGAGAACCATTCCTTACCTGCTTCAGAACCCCAAGTTGGGCTTGGTTCAGGCCAGATGGAAATTTGGTACATAACATCAACATTAAAAACTATTTCCGTCACATTAGTATGAATGCATGCATAATCAAGAACTCAGGAATTCAAAGTATTGCTGAACCATTTTTGTTACACGCAGTAAACTCAGATGAATGCATAATGACCCGAATTCAAGAAATGTCACTTGATTATCACTTCAATGTTGAACAAGAAGTGGGTTCCTCAACCTACTCATTCTTCGGGTTCAATGGTAAGCTAGTTAACAGGCTGACTAAGCTACATTTACAAAAGTACATCAGCAAATCAGCTTACTCAAATGTCCATTATGATATACAGGGACAGCAGGAGTTTGGAGAATTAGAGCAATAAATGATGCAGGGGGATGGAAAGATCGAACCACTGTTGAAGATATGGACCTTGCAGTCAGGGCTAGTCTTAAGGGCTGGGAATTTGTTTTTGTTGGTGATGTGGCAGTGAGTTATTGATATCTTAACTAATTTTTCTCATGCTATGTTGACTACATCTAAGTTTCAATAACCATTAACTAACACATTTCTGCTGCTTGCTAGGTGAAAAATGAACTACCAAGTACATTCAAGGCCTATCGATATCAGCAGCACAGATGGTCATGCGGCCCAGCGAATCTCTTTAGAAAAATGACCAAGGAAATTATCTGTTGTAGTGTAAGTAAACACAAATGTTTAAAACAACAAAAAGTATCCAATTCCCTATAGTTATCATGATTCACAAACATTTTTAAGTAATAAGTTGACTGATGCCTGGTTGTGTCATCCAGAGGGTTTCAGCTTTCAAGAGATTCCATCTAGTCTATGCTTTCTTTTTCGTGAGGAAGATAGTTGCACATTGGGTGACGTTTTTCTTCTACTGCATAGTTATACCAGCCAGTGTGATAGTTCCAGAAATCAGTCTTCAAAAGCAGATTGCAATATACATTCCAGCAACCATTACAATTCTAAATGCAGTGTGCACCCCAAGGTAAACAGTTCTCACGGCACTGCCAGTTCGTTCAATGACCTCATTCATCTTGGTTATTCAAAAATCCGTTATTTATGGAACAGGTCCCTGCATCTTCTTGTACTCTGGATACTTTTTGAGAATGTCATGTCACTCCATCGGACTAAAGCAGCAATTATAGGATTGTTGGAAGCAAATCGTGTCAATGAATGGATTGTCACAGAGAAGCTTGGTAATGCATTGAAACAAAAGAACAATCCTAGGACATCAAGGGATTCACGATTTCGATTTCGATTTCAATTTATGGAAAGGTACTTGCACGTTTGCTTTGAGTCAGTCTAAACAATGCACTTTACCCATCAGTAACACAGCAAAATTGCCACTAAATCTATCTGTAACATAGAAAAAATAGTTGGAACATTGAAGAGAGAACAGAAACTGCCAGTAATGTCTTAATTGCTTATTCTGTAAAATTTGCACTAAAGCACTATGAAGCATGAAAGACAAGATTACAGTTTAAGGTAAAGTATATAATCCTAACAATAACGAACTATTACTCATTGTTAGTTAATTCATGTGCATGCTTATAATCCTCTCATTTTATCAACAGAATCCACCCACTGGAGATTCTCATGGGAATGTTTTTGCTGCATTGTGCAATCTATGACCTGCTATTTGGGCACGACCATTTCTTCATCTATCTGTTACTGCAGGCTGGAGCTTTCTTCACAATGGGATTTGGGCAGGTGGGAACAATTGTCCCCAACTAAATCGAAAATGCAATGATCATAATATTAGTGTATTGTATGACTTAATCAGTACTTCTTGTGCTTGGGCTGTAATTCTCGTATGTTATCTATAAGTATAAAGCTTATAAGGATGTTCCAGGCTATGTACTAGCAGGACTAGAGCATATTTAGTTGGGATCATCATGGTAGCCATGGGCCGACCTGTATCTTTGAAATATGCATAGTTGATATAATACCCTTTTAATTTTTGTTCCAGATACTATGACACAACTCAAGCCAAGACATTTACAAGATCATACGCCACAAATACCTTGAGAATTTTCTAAATTGATGATAATATGAAAAGATTAATAAACAGAATGCCAATACACAACACAATCAATTCAATCTGTAAATATTCCCAAATTCAAAAGCGTCAATATTCAAACGATTACACGACCATATTCAAAGCCAAGTTAAAATGAAAAATTTAAGACAAAGCAAGAACAACCACGCAGGGAAAAGATGACAAGCGTATGAAATTCAAATCTAGATTCAAAGGGCTCGAACCTTCTTCGCTGCTTGCCCAAGAACAACCACGCAGGGCTGACAACGGTGGACGGCGTCCGATGGAGTGTGGAAAGCTTGTTCGTCGACAAAGAGTAATGGATCTGCCACTCACGAGATTGTGTTTTGTCGGGGTTATAATTTATTTTTCAAGGCAAATTTTCCCTTTTACCTGTTGAATGTTGGCTACATTGTTGAAAATTGTCAGTATTTTCTAACCTTCCACGACAAAAGGCTAAATAGAGTTAATAAAAAACTTCGCCAAATAATGTGCAGCTAATTTCAGAAAATGAAGAGACGGTCAACAGAACAAAGTACAAGGGCAGCAGTATCATCCAGCACCCACCTCTACTGGTGATGCTTTTCGTTAAAAAAAAAAAGGGAACATGTAAAGAGCAGAGAGAGGCATAAGTTAGCTTTGATGCGACATCGCATCATTTTCAGCGAGTTGGTAACCCTCTAATCCTCTACCAAACCATGCCATTTCAAGAAAGACTTTTTTTTAACTGCCGTGAAGACATTTCCTTTCGTAAAACAAGTCAACCATATAAATCTATGAAGTCGATGGAAAGCAAACTGCACAGGTGGAAGGGAAATCTCAGGTCCTCTGACGAGGGTTTACATTCGCTTATGCACATTTACAGGCGAGACTTGAACGGCTCTTGGCAAGGTAAAATAATATGCTAGCATTTCGCTTGGGAAGGAAACTTTGTGCAGTTGACTGAGAACAACCGGCAGATCAGGGAACGGAAAATGGGTGTAGAGAAAAGTTGCAAGTGCGGTTTTAAAAAAAATCCACAATATATGAAAGGGGTTAACAGCTTGGCGCGGGGGCCGGCATCTGCCCGTCCGCGGGAGCGGATGGCATGGTGTCACCGCCTTGCAAGTTGCAATCACAGAAGCTTCAAGCGGTGGGATTCGTGGGCCTTCTTTAGTTTTGACTTCAAGTCCTTAAGCCTTTTTCTGCACACCCTTTCATTCCAGATGGATTGAGTAAATAGTAATCACGTTTTAAGATGACAGGCTCTGAATACAGGCCCAGTTAATTTTCAAGCCAATCTATTCAAACTTCAAGATGGAGAAATGATCTTGGGTCCAAAAAAAAAAAAAGCATAGAGAAATGATTGTTATATTCACCGGGTAAATTTTTTTTTTATTAAAATCATGATTCATTCATAACCAAATATTACAAACTCAAATCACCTCTATATAGCCATTTCTCTCCCCTTCCTCTTCTTCTTGGATAAAGGAGGGAGGATGGTTAAAGAAATGTTCCTTTGAGGCTATATTCTAAGCAAACTTAGCAAAAGTATTAGCCTTTTTGACAAACATCCTAAGCTTAAACTCAATGTTAACAATTCAATCTCTACCTATAATCATTCTAACTTCCTGAATAATGTCCCAATAAATATGATTTAGCTAGGAATCTCTCAAAATCAAACTTAAGGTGCTAACACAATCAAAAATAACATTAATTTTCCTGATTCCAACTATAGTGAAGCCCAATGGTTATAGCTTTGATCTCAGCAATGGTTGGTGGCAATGATTCTATCTTTAAATAGAAACCCATTATCCATCTTCCACTTTGCTGTCTGATAATTCCTCCAGTTGCACTTCCTCTACCATTTAAGCACGAGGCATCAGTTTCCAAAGTGAAGAACTCAGCATCTTGTTGAGGTTGATGGTTGTGTGCAGAACAATCTCTTCCTTTCAACACAGTGCTTTGCTTGATTTTAAAATCCTGCAATGCTCTAAAAAGACATTGTATGTGTTTTCCCATCCAGCAAAAAAACTATTCCTTTCCAAACACTTTTTTACATCTATTAACCCAAATATCCCAACATACATAAGAGAAAAGAGTACCCCAAGGAATGGACTTAGTGTTATGGTTACCTATTTCCTTGCTAAGATTCCATGTAACCCACTCCTTTCCTTCTAAATGATTAAACCTCTCCCAAAACTCAGGCGAAACAAAAGCAAGCTATTTATTTCTAACGTGGTAACAATCATGAAGTAAATGCATTAAAGTCACATCCCTATTGCAATCATACTGGCATTTGCTATTGTCTTGAATACCTCTTTGCTTATGGAGATCAGCCGTGTGAACCTTATTGTGAGCAATAAGCCATAGAAATGACTTCATTTTTTCTGGCACCTCAGCTTTCTAATGTGTTTCCAGATGGTATTTCCATTGCCAGTTGTACCTGTGGATAAAAACATATAAGCAAATTTAATGTTAAAATTCCCATCGGGTGATGGAAGCCAGATGAAGGGGTCTTTACTCCTCTCAATAAAAATTCTGGTGCGAGCTATGGTGTTGACAGTTTCTGAATTGAACCATAATGCCAGTTTCCAAGTATCTCACTCCCCATTTAGTTGGATGTATTTAGAGACTTTCTCTTCTATATTACAAACAAGCATATTCTCACAATTAACTTCAGCTAAAGGTTTCCCCAAACCTATCCATAAATCCTTCTAGAAAAAGGTTTGTTGTCCTATAGTAATTTATCTTCCCAACCCATCTTTGAACTCATTCCAAACGTTGGCAATGTTGCGCCAAGTTAAAGAAGCATTTCTTTTTTTATTCACTATAGGCATCTGGTTCATTCCACACTTGTATTTCGACCTCAACACTTTAACCCATAGGGTATCCCTTCTCTTAATCAGATTCCAACAAAGTTTCATGATAAAAGCCTTGTTTTGTAGCCGAAGGTCCTTAATGCCTAATCCACCTACTTTTTTATCTTTTGTAACTTCAGTCCAAGACACCGGGTGAATCTTATTTTGATCTCTTTCGACACCTCATAAGAATTGTCTGCTGGAATTATCAATTTCCTTCAACAAAGTAGTAGGCAGGGACATGGTTTGCATATAATAAGTAAGCAGAGCAGAAACAATTACCTTGACCAAAGTAGAGTGTCCAACCATAGTTAAGAACTTGCCTTTCCAACTCGCTAGTCTTCTTTTTGCTTTGTCCAGTATGGGTGAAAACAGACTGAATAAAGCTCTTTTATAGATAAGGGGGATACCTAAATATTTACTTAGGTCTCCTGTAAAATTGATCCCCATTGCCCTACATAACTCAAGACCCCGATTGATATGTACATTATCGGAGACACACATTCGTGTTTTTTACTTATTCATTCTTTGTCCTGACATTTGGAAAAAATGATTGATACAGCTCTTTATTTCTTCAATTTGCTTCAAGCTTGCCTCTCTAAAGAGAAGAAGGTTATTGGCAAAGAACAGATGTAAAATCAATGGACCATCTTTATTTAATTGAATTGGTCTCTATTCCTTTTCCATGTTCGCATCTTTAATGACATGGCTCAATTTTTCCATACATAGGGTAAAAAGGTAGGGTGATAATGGGTCTCCTTGCCTAAAGCCCATAAAAAGGGTGAATTCCTCTGATGCATCTCCATTCTATAGCACACGCAACTTCAAACTTGAAACACATTCCTGGATGAGTGAGCGCAAGTGATCACTGATCTCAATTTCTTTCAACAATTCATCAAAAAGCTACTATTCCATTCTGTCATAAGCTTTTTCCAAATCTACCTTAAGTGCAATGAGCCCTTTTTTCTTTTTTATTGTCTTCATGGAGTGGATGACTTCTTGGGCAATAATAATATTATCACTTCCCTGTCTTCCAGCTATAAAACTACACTGATGATGGCCAATCAGCTTATCAATGACCCTTTTCACTCTGTTAGCAATAACTTTTGAGATTATCTTGTAGCTCACATTGCATAGCGAGATAGGTCGAAAGTCTTTCAAACATTCTGGTTTCTCCACTTTTGGGATAAGCACAATATTTGTCTGATTGATAGATCCCAATTTTCTTGGATTACTAAAGATATCTTTAACCATTTGACATATTGAATCGCCCACAATGCCCCAATACTCTTGATAGAAGAAAGCTTGTAAGCCATCGGGGCCTGGAGCTTTAAAGGCTCCTATATCAAACACTGTAGTTTTGATCTCGTCCTATGTGATATCTCTACACAGAGAGTTCAGCTCTGTTTCAGTCAATTTACTGAAGGTAGCTCTAATCTTAAACTCGGGGTCTCCATTACTTTCACTAGCAAAAAGCTTTTGGTAGAAATGCTTCGCCATGTTTTTCAAATCATCCTGATTTTCTATCCATTCTTCATTTTCATTTTTCAGGGCATACACATAATTTCTCCGTCTTCTCTCCATAGTAGCAACATGAAAGAATTTACTATTCTTATCTCCCCAAGTCAACCAATTGCATTTGGATTTTTGGTACTAAATCAATTCTTCCTGTGTTAGAACTTTATTATAGTCTTTCCAAAGTTCCTTTTCCACTTGCAACAAGTATTGGCTGTCTCGAGTTGCTCTAGCTTTCTCCACACCTTCTATTCGACGGATCAGTTTCTTTTTTTTAGAGACAAGGTTGCCCACATTCTTTTTATTCCACTCTATCGCAAGATTTTGTATAGCTATAATTTTTTCTATCCACTCCTTTTCCTGCCAAGCTTTCAGTACAATGTCACTAAAACCCTCCTCTAAAAGCCAAGCAGCTTGACACTTGAAAGAATGTCCCCTTGTGCTGTAGGTAGCATTATTACCTCTCTTTTTGAGAGAAAGAGATATATGGTCAGATCCAAACTTACTTTGATGATATAACTCCATATCTAGGTACTTGAATTGCCATTCAAGATTTGAGAAAGCCTAATCTATACGTTCTTTAACCATATTTTTTTCCCACATGAACCTGTCCCCCATTGTTGCAAATTCCACTAAGTTAGCTTTACTGATGCATTCCTAAAAATCATTCATTAAAGTTTGGTTAACCGTACCCCCTACTTTGTCTTCACACATTAGATATGCATTAGAATCCCCATGAGTAGCCAAGGATCCTTCATATTTAAACTGATCGAGTAAATATCATTCCACAGGGCTCGACGGTATTGATATGAAGGTTCAGCATAAATGCATGAAAGCCAAAATTGGTTGTTGTCAGCTCTGTTTTATACCAAACAGTGTAGGATTTGTGTTGAGGGTAAATTATACTTTATCTTAACTTCTTCTTCATTCTATAATAACTATATCCCTCCTGCATAGTCAGTGGCTTCTACTCTAAGCCAATTATTAAATCCCAATTTTTTCAAAATAAAATCAACTTTACATCTACTAACTCTTGTTTCAACAATAATCAAAATTTTAACATTTTGATTTCTCAATAAATCCTTCAATCTTAGAGGAAAATGTTTTGAGGTTGCACTTCAACAGTTCCAAGCAACAATATTCATACAGCCAAAAAAACCAAGATGAAAGAACCTGAGTGGCACTGGTTAAGCCATACCTGAGTCGCTTTCTATTTCTTCAGCATAAACGCCTTCCTTGTCACTTGCATCAACTGCAGCCATACTCCCATCATGATTGCTTGCTTCTATGGTAAAGAATTGGTCTTGGTTCTTTGTCAACACAAAATTCAGGCAGCCTTCCCCATATTCAGCGTAACTGGGTCTAGAGGTTTTAATAGCCCCATTTCTCTTGTCATTTCTTTAGTTGCTGGTTGATTGGGTTGAGTGAGATCATGCATATTGGATTCCCCCTGTGTCTCTATGCCAGAAGGCCTTGGCCTTGAATGGATATTAGGTGTGAGATCCATCACTAATGGGCCTTTTCTAGTTGTTGAGCCCATGACAATTTTATATTCTTTAATGGACGCCTTTCTCTTTAGCTCTGGAGATAAGATCTTGGGCCTATATATTGGGCTTCATTTTAAACCTGTAACCTTTGTCCTTAAGGATGAACCACCTCCTTTTAATCCTTTGTATCCTTTTTTATTTTTTTGTCCTGTGTAATAATCATTTTGCTTCTGCTGCTCAATAGCGTTAAACAAAAAATTTCTTTTTATTTCCTCACAATGACCTCCATCACCATTGACAGGTGCTTTTCCCATGTCAGAGCCTTTCTTACCAAACTCCTGTTCTATCACCAATTTCTCCTCCTTCCTTATACTAGTTCGAACCTTTTTGCCGTCATTCCTCTCTTCTCCCATATCTGATAGAATATCAAATTTAAATTTTCTTGATCCCTTTTGATCTCTTCCCCCCATTGAGGATTGACCCCTATACTGGCCTTGTTAACCCTTTTCTATCCCATTTTTTAAGGATCTCCATTTTTGAGGGTATCTCACCATCATCCATTCACCGGCAACGTCCTATACCAAATTGTCGTTAACAGTACGCAAAGTTTTTGGAGTCTCTTGTGATGTCTCCATCACAATTTCAGTTATATTTTTCTCCTTGCTAGCTAGATCTCCCAACGCGTCTTCTTGTGTCGTAGGAGAAGCCTCCATATTCCTATCCTTTTCTGAGTTTGCAACAAGTCTAAGAAGTGGGCATTCCTCTTTCAAGTGACCGTAATGACCACAATGAAAACATATAGTATCTAAACCTTCATATGCAACAGTGAAAATGTGTTCACGGATCATAAAACGAGAAGCAAGTCGCTTGGATAAATCTACTTCAACACTGATACTTGCGTATTCCCTGCGTTCAACAACTTTCTTATCTGTGCCTTCATACGTAAGGGTGTTCATATCAACTTTCAATGTTTTTCCTATAATATTTCCCAGCTCCCATAATATTTCTTCATTGTAGCAGTATATTGGAAGGATGGGGACCCGAACCCAGACAGTAAGCTTTCCCAAGGTATTACTGTAGGGATTAAAGTTCAGACTCCAGCATTGAATAGCCACGTAATGTCCTTAAATCATCCAGGGGCCCTATGCAAGAACCTTATGATAATGAGCAATATCGCTGAACCTGATCATATAATATCCATTAGCAAGATCTATAAATTCAAAATCACCCACAGACCATATTTTGCTCAACCTATCTTTGAGTTCAGATCTATACATCCTTCTTCCCAAAAGAGTCACCACTAGTGCATCTTTCCATGGTTTGTATAGGTTTATCCACCTGTCATCTGGCATATCTAGCTTCGGAATACTGTCAAGGATCTCTTTCTGAGCATCAGTTAAGTTAGGGACTAACTGTGTTTCCTCTTGCATCCATTCGTTCATGCAATCGTTTATGTCTCTTGCCTCTCCCATCTTCTCTTCTCCTATAAGTGAAGCCTTATAAGATATTGGAGTTGGTTTCACACTAGAGGTTTTAGTTGTCCTCTCATCGCCTTCCTGGTCTATGTTGTCTTTTTCCACCATTATTACATCATCCGCCATCTTCTTCAGGCCCCTCCTGAGAATGTCTTCCTCCATTTTAGAAGTATCGCCTTCCTCCATTTGAGACCTAGAGGTATCGACGTTACCACCCAAGCTTGCACCAGAACCTACTCTCTTGCCACTACCCTCTCTCTCCTCCACTCTCTCTCATCAGACACTACACATCTATTTTCCGCCGGGGGTAAATATTGATATCAATAAGTATGCAAAATTGTTGGCATAACAAGATGAGAAATAATGTGTGTCTATATAAACCAACGTGTACCCAAAATACATGCATATACATACATACATACATACATACATACATATAAAGAAGACGACGTTATTGACATGGATCAACCAAAACATGATGTTTAAGTCTGAGATGTCATAATAATGGGAGGGTCCAATTTCGAGTACCGAGGAATTTATATGTATTAACTGAATTGTGTTTAGTTTTCAGTTTGTCAAAAGTTCATTTGACAAAAGTCAGTTTAGTGAAAATTAATTATTGTAATAAAATTTATGTTTAAATATGTTTTTTTTAAAAGTCAATTTAATAAATTGAAAGTCATTTAGATTATGATAATAAAATACACTTTTGGATGTACAATTACTATAAAAAATATTGACTTATGATAATTTGTAATTTTTATTACACAAATATAATATATTTAAAATATTTAAAAATGTGATAAAGATGTTAAATAACATAAAATTTGATCTACAATGTTAAAAAATTGATCTCTAATTATTTATAAATTTTTAATTTATAATTTTAAAAAATGTGATAAAAATTTACAATTTTTTGTTACACATTAATATTAAAAATTAACATGATTAATTATTTAATTTATAACATTAAAAAATTAATATCTAACTATTATTTTTTAAATGATAATTATATTTTCAATGAATGAACTACTTTTTAAATAAAAGAATAAAAGAGTAAAATAACATTTATATTTTAAACCCCTATTTAAAATCGAATAAAAAATAGAATTTTAAAATTTATATTTTAAATTTATTTTAACTTATTTTTTAAAAGTCATTTTATTTTTTAAAAAATTATTCAAACAATTTTTAACATTTGAAAATTTAAAAGTTCAGCTCAGATATTAAATGAGACAAAGCCAGACGCACCCTGAGCAGCCGAGGCCTTGAAGGGAAGAGCGAACGAAGTTTCAAGTGTCGGGGCGTTTTCGGCTTTTCGCAGGGCAAGACATATTCATAGGAAGTTTCCGAAAAGATGTGAGGGAGCAGGAACATTACGACGCCTGATCTGAAAAACTGATACCGTGTCTGACATGTTTTTTGTGGGGATCAAAGAGAGGCAAGTATCCACGTGTTAAATGTTAAAGGAGGGTGGCTTTGTCTTCCTCCATGCATCGCAGTCATGAGCATCATGAATTGATGATGATGAAAGCCTAGTGCAAGCCACACGGCTTCCTCCGCTTCGTAATTTTCTGCGCTGAGCTGCCCTCGTCCCATCGGGCGTCCCGTGTGCTATCATCGTTTCTCTCTTAGTTGGCCCTCCTCGCTGTGTTCAGATTCCGGAATTATCCGGAATCTTTGGCCCGTCCAACTCGGTATCGGATTTTTAGGGGGGTAAAAAGTGATCGGCTCGCATATACGATCTATCCAGAGCACCAAAGAGTCGGTCATACACAGGGTTATTAATATAAATTTTGTAGCTGCCATTGATTTTCTTAATTTTAGACATCAATTGGTAGTATTGTGCAGTTTCTTTGTATCTTATCTCCAATTTCATCAATCCAGACAGTAAATATATATATATACGCGCACTCCCTCCAATCATTTTAATGAGCATTAGCATTTGATCTCCACGGATTATCCTTGCCTGTCTAATCATTTTCAACTTGCTCGCTCCTCCAGCGGGTTTCTTCTTTCAATAGGAGGCTATATATCGTACACAACGAAAAAAAAAAATGCAACCTAGTCAACTTATTTTTAAATAACAACGAGATGCTGAATTTTAGCGAGAAAGGATAAAATAAAATTGTGGCAGCGCGTAAAAAAGAACTTGATATGAATGTAGGAACAAATAAAAATGAATGACACAAGACTTGAATTAATAATCTCTTTTATAAAACATTAAATAAGAAATCACGTTATTTACGGGAAGGGCATATGTAACGTAAGATTGGACCTATCTTGTTTTAGGTAAATAAATGGACCTACATTGTTATATCAATTTGAAATTTAAATGGAAGGAATAAGGAGGTGAATGGTCCTGCAAATTCTCGCAACTACCGCGAGTGGGAAGGGATTATCCTTCTTGCGGGGCCAGATGGAAGAGAATTTTATTCAACGACTTCATGAAACTCTGGCCGAAAAGTCAAGGGGAGAGATGATGCTGCAGAAGCGCCTCTTAAACACACATGCATCCATCATCCCCACAACAATCATGCCATATTTATATCTCCACATACATACATAACATCACACATACGCATATCCAACCCCGCTTGCCTCTCCTCCCTCCCTCTCCGCCTCATATATATAGATCCTTGCCTCCAATTTCACTCTTCGAATTAACAACCAACTACTTCGAATCGAAATCCAAACCCTAACGTTCCAATTCCAATATGGGCGAGGTCAGTTCCTTATCTTCTCCCTCTCCTTCCCTGTTCTTTCTCCACCAATTTCATTCTCTATTATTTTTACAGTTTTACTTCCTTTCTGGTCTCACGCTCTGCCTTTCTTGTTCTGTCGTCTATGCGCCCAGAAGAAGGACGACGCTCCCCCCACTGTCGTTTTCAAGCTCGATATGCATTGCGATGGCTGCGCCAAGAAGGTTAAAAAGGCCGTCCGCCATTTCCCTGGTACTCTATTCCGTCAGCTCCATCATTTATCTGCTTTTCGCTTTTTCTCTATTTTGAACAATCCCTCATTTGCTTCCGAGTGACTCTTGAAATCGGGAATTCAAGCCTCAATCTTGGCCCTTTTTTGGTTTTAGGTGTGGAAGACGTCAGGGCCGATGTGTCCGCCAATAAACTGACGGTGATCGGTAAAGTAGACCCCGCTAAGGTGCGGGAGGATCTGGCCGAGAAAATCAAGAAGAAGGTGGAGATCGCTTCCCCTCAACTTAAGAAAGACGCCGGCGGAGATAAAAATCAGACGAGAAACCGGAGAAGAAGGCCGACGAGAAGAAGTCCGGTGAGAAAAAAGACCAAGATAAAAGCCGAAAGAGGTAATTGATTCCGCTTCCGTTGCCACTGAAAAATGCCTTCTATTAGTCAATCGTCGCTGAAAATGGCTCCTCTCAGTCAACACGGGACATATATATTAGTATATTGCCCCAATTAATTAGCGACCGGGCTTCTCTACCCAGATTTCGCTTTGCTTGTTTGTTCACGGCACCCACGTTTTTCATGTCAAATTTCAGTCGGTTTCGCTAAATTACTAACGGACTTTAACTTGTTTTTGCTGGACTCAGAGTACGGTGGTTTTGAAGATCAGATTGCATTGCGATGGTTGCATCCAGAAAATTCGAAAGATCGTACTCAGGTTCAAAGGTAAGTCATTAGCTTTATAATTAACCCAATTGCCTATGAAATTATTATTATCATTTTTGAATCAGCAAGGCTTTAGATGATGATGGACTCTTAGAATAAGAAAAATAAAATTGAATTTAATTCATTCAACAAGGCGGCTTAAATAACGAGTAGTGCTTAATTTTCTTGGGAAAACAATGGCGTGTGCAGGAGTTGAATCGGTGAACATAGATGCAGGCAAGGACCTGGTAACCGTGAAGGGGGCGATGGACGTGAAAGAAATGACGCCGTACCTGAAGGGGAAGCTGAACCGAAACGTGGAGGTGGTCCCACCCAAGAAAGACGACGAGAAGAAAGACAAAGGTGAAGCGAAAACCGGTGGCGGCGGCGGAGACGGAGGCAAGAAGAAAGAGGACGCGCCGAAGGTGGAAGTTAACAAGATGGAGTACTACGGTTACCCACCGCCACCGCCGATGTACTGGTACGGCGGAAACTATCAACCTGGGGAAACCAGCAACGCCATGGAATATCACGGAGGAGGAGGGTACCCGAACCATCCAGGTCCCGGGTACCCAAACCTGGGGTACGCGACACCTTACCACTTGAACCCTCACGCGCCGCACCCTCAGATGTTCAGCGACGAGAATCCCAATGCTTGTTCCGTCATGTGATTGTGATCCTCCATTCCTCTACACAAACGTAGAGGCTGTCCTCTCTAATTGTACATAGAAAAGCGTAGCAAATGAGGTAAAGGGCCTTAGGCGGTTTAAAATTCGTAGAATAAATTAATAATTGGTGGATTTTTGTCCTTTTTTTTTTTTTGTAATGTCGACTGGATTATTTAGATAGGCAGAGTTAGGACTTAGGAGGATGGGCCGGCGGCGGCCGGGGATATTCTGGTCCATAAAAAACAATTGTATTGTTTTTTTTTTTTGTTCGTTTGCGTTTGATTTTGATATTCTCATGTACTGCAGTATATAATATGAAGAATTTCAAGCTACTCTCGAGGTAGCAGGGGGTACAACGTACATGTTACCTGCCATCCTTCCGCTTCGGCTTGTTATTTCACCGTGCTTGACTAGTTCAGAGCAAGGCAACCCATCTTTCCTTTGCATGGGGGAACTGTGGCTAATCAAATCACATTATGAGATTAATACCGATTCCTAGAGTCTAGATTGGATTCCCTTCTTTTCAATTAGATGGCTTTTGGTGTTTTGGCCCCATTTAAACATTCGTTTCTTCCATGTCGAGGTATAATATATAAGCAATTATCTTTATTGAATGTAAGTGTTATTAACAATGAAATATCTCATATGACGTGTAATAATCTGACAAAAAAATCCTTAACTAAAGTATATATTTAGTTTTTTAATTTTATATAAGATTTTAATTTAGTATTTTAATTTTATATGGTATTGTTTTAGTTCTCTAACTCTGAGACAGTTTGCTTAAAATAGTTATTTTTGTATTATTGTTATTTTAAAAAATTAAATTTTATACTCTAAGATTTAAAAATGTTTTATCAATATTTAAAGTTTATTATGAAAATTTTTTATTGATGAAACTAAAATTGTTAGGATTAAAGAATTTAAAATATATTTTACAAAATTAAAATAAAATAATGTATAAAATTAAAGGACTGTATGTGTACTTCAGCCAAACACGTCTTCCGAATAGTTTGGCTTCAGCCGGAGTCCCCGTTTCCCCGCCGAGTTTGATCGGGAAAAGGGCATGGTCATTTTTATTTCTTTACTACTTTCTAGCTGCTGTAGAAACAAATTTATCTTATTGACCTTCATGGTTTATTGAACATATAAATTATGATATTTGGAAGCACCGTGAATTCGCGGTCTCGTAAAGACGATTGCTTCTTTAAAAAAAAAAAAATACATCTGTTTCTGAAAGTGCAATATGTTTCATTGAAGAGTTGCTACCGTGATCTTTATCTTAATTAAAAATAAAAAGGGTGCCACGTGAAATACTGAGTACAGTTCTTTAGTGCGGGTCCTTTTTTAGACCTGAAGCTTTTGTACGAGGTGCTTGATCACTGCGATTTGCGAAAAATGGAGCATTCTACTGCTTTACCTCTCCAGATCCATCGATAACTTTTCTATTTTTTTATTTGTTATCAATTTTGAAAATGTATAAGAAATGTACGTGTAATATATATATATAGACGAACACTATTGAGACACACACATACGAATAGGATTTGTCATTTAAGTTACATGATCCTGACATTTATCGCCTTTTTTTGGCCAGCACTTCAAATTAAACAAAAAAAAAATGAAAGACTTTCGTAGATTAAATGAGGGGTCCTTTGCTCATATATAACCACGTTTTTTTCTTTCTCTTTGAGGTGTCTTTTCGTCATCAATATATATGTGTATGTGTGTGTGTAAAGTCTTTTTGTTTTTTTGCACATAAAATATAAAGCCTGTGGTCGATGGATCTTGATCGGTAGAGTTAATTCAACGGCAAGGGCCGTAAGGCGATTTAAGAATGTATTCTGTTGCAGTCGCTCATATTATGTCTATACGTTGTTTACTCGTCCATATTTGGCCGTTATTAAATACCGTGTGATTGTTTCGGCTAACAATTTTTGGCCAATTTTGATTGAAATTTAAAGTTGATCTCCTCTAATTTTTAAGATAACTTCAACGCCAGTGGGCCAAAGTTTGATGTTTGATTAATATTTAGAGATGACGTCATGAAGCCACCAATTAACCGTATGCACTGAATGCTGCTCCTTTGTCTGTCTCGTTCTTTATGATTGATTGAAGTAATTAAGGGGCTGTTTGTTTTCTGTTTTTAAAACTAATTTTTGTTTTTAAAAATAAAAAAATTTAAAAATTTATTTGGATAAGTATTGTTCATTTAGTTGTTTTCAAAACTGTTTTCATTTTTTTTTTTTTTAAAAACTAAAAAATAGAAACAACTTTAAGTTGTTTCATTTTATTTTTCTTGTTTTTAAAATACATTATATTTGATTATTAAAAATTAGAGTTACCTTGACTATTTTTTATTATTAATTACCATCATTAACTGTCTATAATCATCATCATCAGTTTATTTTTTAATTCTAAAACTGTTTTTAAATTACATAACCAAATGAATTTTTATTTTATTTTTGTTTTAAAAACAATTTTAAAAACTATATTATAAAATAGTTTTTAAAAATAAAAAATGAGAATAGAAATCAAACAACCGCTAAAATTCAATAAAAGGAACTTAGTGGGTGCCGAAGAGATACACCTTAATAGGTACATGGTTGTATAATCCAATCAGCAATGAGACAAATAATAAAGCGCACCGAAATGTTTCCGTCCCAACGTAGCGACAAATTATAAACTAAGAGCTCGAGTGTTTAATTTATTTATGAAAAGATACCTCCACTTGTTTGGAAGCCGAAGAATTTTTGGTCCTTATCTTTTATTTATTTAAAAAAAAATTTGCATCGTAGAGGGCCAGATGCATCTTCACCCACGAAACCATGTATGTATCTAGTTTTATGCTATGTGATGAAACTGATTAGTCAGAAGTCGAGCCTTAATAATTAATACGACGACCCCTTTAAATTATCAACAACTCGCATAGTGCAACCACTTTTTTTTTAAAAAAAAAGTTCGAATAAATTGACCTAAAACTTATCAGAACAATTTTTCGAAAGGGCTCCCCGTGTTAAAGCACATTTTCTAGCTATATCTCACGCTCTGCGTCCAGCTTAACTGGATATTTACTAGTGAAGGACTAATCAGGTGCGGTGAGTTAATTAAGTGGCAAATCGTAGGTCGCTGGCTAGGAAACACGAGTCTTGTTTTGATCCACTGGGGTTTGGGTGGAGGAAGCATTGGCTTTGGCTCGCTTTGTTGAATGTTGACCTCCTTTAGTATTGGCCCATACAATGATGGCGTAATCGCTTACGTGAGAAAAATATGGGTTTGATTTCTTCCCTTAGTATTGTCAAGAATATTCAACAATTGAACAAAGAACTCAATTATACATATTGCCAAAATTCTACGAGTCAAGAGTACATGTGAAGACCCAGAATGGAACGATCAATTAACGACTGGTGAATGAATTGGTTAAGCGAGCTACAATAGGCCCGTGGGATTTTCTTCAATTTGTATTTTGTTTGTTCCATAAAATGTAAACAATTTTGTAAATTGGCTAGGCAAGCAATTTAACAGGAATGACGTTATTGAGTCCAAGTCTTGCAAAAAACCACGATTTGATTACCATTATTAACACTGTATATGTATGTATGTATGTATGCATAACCGTTTATATAAATTCATAATCGCCACGATGAAGAAGACAGGTTGACGTGGAATTTTGGTGCATGTGGCTAAGTAGTTTCGGCAAGCACATTTCCACTGAGAAAGTCGCTGCTCGAAAGCTCCGCGAAGCCTCAACCTACTCCTTCACATTGTTATTTTGCCGACTGTTTGTTTTTGTTTTGTTTTGTTTTTATTTTGTTAGATTGGACTCTTGGTTTTTTTTTCCCCAGGTTGTATGCTAGGTTTGTTTCTTTTTTGTTTTTTCTTGTTAGTGTGTGTATTAACTCTCTTGTTTTGGTGATTAATAAAATGGTTTGTGCGGGGAAAAAAAACAAAAGAAAAGAAAAGAAGTTCCGCGAAGCTGCGAGTCACTATACATCTATACCAAAGGCCTTTAATTTCCACACCTTCTAGAAATTGTCACGTTTTCATTCATCCTGAAACGACAGCGTTGCGCCTTCGTTTGTTAATTTCTCAAATATTATGATACATATATAATGTTAGTGGGACGGGAGATTGGCTCCGTCTTCCCATTATCCACGCTGCCTGGGGCCTGGTCACCATCCACCACTTGAACATTGATGTCTGACCCGTTTTAATTACCAGAATTACATTATTGAACCACTTGCGAATTTCATTAATGACATTTTTCAAGAACTAATTAATCGATTTAGTGACATATTTAGTGTTGAGCTTGTGCCTTCTTTGGTTTGCTAATCAAGTATCACGTCGTTTAAAGTTTGACCAGCTCCAAAATATAAATTCAGTTACGTTCCACGTCAATAATCCAATCGAAAATATTTGTGGGATTCGCATATGAGGTAACGCCACCAGCCCAAGCCTACCTCACTGAACCCACAGGGTACCTTTATGTTTTCTTTTTTCAAAAGAAAAAAACCATTAATAATGAGATTCGCTTTCGAATTTCGATTGCCCGAACAAGAACAAACAGAAAAGGAAGGGGCTCATTTTTGTTTAATGCTGTCACATCACATCCTTCCATTATATGGGAAAAAAACGGTGGATGACTCGCAATTAGGTCGAACGATCCTTTGGGGGTATCGGAAAGCCGGATCATCTTCGTCCCTGACCTAACCAGAATCCCAGAGGTGAAAATGATTGAATTAAAAAAAATTAAGAATTTAAACTTTAGGGGTTATAAAATAGTAATTATTTACTGACTATGCATGCGAAGATTACAATGACCGTTTATAGAGAAAAAGCTGAATGCGCAGTCTGACCTTGACAGCTTTATAATTATAATTATATATCGTGCGTCATATCATCATCAGCAAACATCAAGCGCATGGCTGCTATTTTTTGGCTGCATCAGGTTAAAATTAATATTTTCGTTTCACCTCCACTTGTTCGTATGCCCGAACTAATTGAAATTGAAGTTGATAAAGAAGATTTTTTCCTGTTCCTTTTGAGTTCTTAGCTCATGGATTAGCAAGAAAATAATAATAATAGTAATAAATAATGTGATCTGTATAAATCACATGCATATAGGCTCTCACAGGAAAAATATCAGTAACCTGGGCTGTGCGTGCATGCAGGGGTCGAAAAAGATCGAGTGGTTATAATATTCGGTTAAGATATTAAGAAATCATATAACCAGGGAAGTGTAACCATCATTCGTAGAAGAACGTTCACGGGATCGATCGTAAAGAGGTAGAAAACAAAATAAACTATGTCAGAAATAAGACTGTACGGCCATTATTAATCGCCGTACAGACCAACGAGATCACCTAAAATTTCAACG